CTGTTTGTAGTATCATTTTAGAGTCTATTCTGTTTCATCTTTCGTTTGGTAATTGAGCAGATGACGTCTATGAGACCCTAGAGGTCCAGGGAGTCGAGGCCTGCTAGATGAACATACTAAGTATCCAAGTGGGGGCCCTAAATCCATCAGAGATCTAGATTGAGCTGTGACTCACTCAAGTGATGACGTCAAACTTCAGATTGCGGATTAAGATAGCAGCATGCCGATAAGTCGAATCGAAACTAAACTACAAAGGTTATCATATCACCAAGAGAATCTTCTTGATATCAAATCTCACCAAGTGCTACCCACCAAAGTAGCGGCTAAGAATAGATATACTTATCGATAACATCTGACCAAGAGTTCTATCATATCAGCAGCATAATCTCTTATCACCAAAACCTCCCAAGAGACAGTCAAATAAATAAATAATTAAGTCCCAACTTGAAAGTGACCAGTACACCGCGGATGTTTATCCAAATTCATAGTTTACAATAGAAACCTAAATGAATGTATAAAATGAATACTACGAGAAATAATATCTCCGAAAGTCTTATTATTATTTCATCAATGTATGCATTTATGAACATTCCCATAGACTTACTCGTACTTTAGTTTGGAAAATCTCTTTATTTTATATGCTACATATTTACAACATTGATATTTCGAAACATATTTTGTAATTTTTATCTTCGCCCTAACGACACAAATTCGTGATGTCCAGCTTCCGAATTTGATTACTTTCGGGAGTACTCGGTATTAGAAACGTAAAATATCTGCCGGCCGCGAATGTGTTAATAACCATCTCAACTATAGAAAGACAACCATCGCCACAAATCGAACGAACTTTCTGATCGATCCAATACAATTCTTGCAAATCGATCCCCTCCCACTAACCATCCATAAATCTCCAAGGATTTAACCACAGACCTTAACCACGCTAGGTATACAAGTCGTGTACCCCAGTACCCCATCCATCAGAGTTCTAACCAATGACCCCATCCGTCAAAGACCTAAGACACCCCGAGTCATCCAAACGATGACATGCAAAGCAGCCAGGCACCAAAAGCAATACAACCAGCCAGAGATCGCCCCCAATCAAGCCCTCTAAGTACCAAAAAGCCCGCGTCGAGGCCAGGGAAGAGGATTTACCAGGATCAATACGCGTCCCAACTAGTCAGCGCACAAATCAGCCCGAGGAACTAGCGTCACAGTTAACCGAGACACGCGTAATCAGTGATTAGCGATCGCGCGACAAATCGTCGGTTATTGGCACGCTGCAAGCATTATGCGCGCTCGTTAATATCACTCTCCCTCCGCGACAGCGAAGTTCAAAGTCGTAGATTTCAATTAGCCCCGGCGATGCGACGGAGCACGGTTGCATCTAGGCTGCGGCTATGCGTCAGCTAGGCACCGACAGCCTAGCGTCGGTCCTCCTCGGCCGCGCCACAGTAATCGAAACGCAAACCGGCAGGATCGATGATATTATCCGCGATAACGTTTCTCCGGCTCTTCGTCATAATGGAGGGACGTCACGGTTCCGCGGGATCATAAATGATGCAGCTGGACATGGAGTAAGACTACCGCGCGATTAATCGCCACTGTCGAGGTTAATTCGTTGTCGGTCCCCACAGGCCTCGATGACGAAGAGTGCGGCGAAATTACGGGGGGCAGGTTTTGGATCTATCGAGTTGAGGTTTTGTTCCTTTAGTTTGTGAAGATGGATGTGTTTTAGAAGAAAAGCCTTTTTCAGAAGAGAGATCGATGAAGATTCTTGAAGAAGACTACCATTGCTCGCCTAGCATTTGTATGTGGAGGATTCCTCACTTGGATACTTAGTATGTACATCTAGCAGACTTCGACTCACTGGACCTCTGGGGTCTCATAGACATCATCTGCTCAATTACCAAACGAAAGATGAAAAAGAATAGACTCTAAAATGGTACTACAAGCGGATCTAGAATGCAACTCAAAGTATATTATAGTAACCTTCGATCGATAACTATTCAAAAGTATAGCTACCATAGCCGTGCGAAGTTGGCTCCCAATACTAAAACAGTTAAAATTTCCTTTTGGCAAACGTTTGCCTATTGTTTACCCATTAGTGGCCCGTTAGAATTTTCGTTTGCCCCTTTTTAATTTAAAAATTATCCCTTTCATACAAGTCTACGATCATACCACCTAATATCCCAGTATAGGTGTCTCAGGATAATGCGTTTAGGATTCTGTGTATCTTACTTTCCAAGTTGATATATCAACCGTTTTCAAAGTGGCAACTAAAGGTGACCACATCAACAACTGAATCTCCTTGATATCAAACCTTCACAAAATGCTACCAACCCGAACCTAACTCAAACCTAACATTGATGACTCAAAACGATGTCTTTTGCATTCTGTGAATCGGTCTTCTACATTTCTATTTCAACTGTTCCTAAAGTGATAACTTGAGGGCCAATATTTCAAGAAGGTTTCTAACCCTTAAACTTGACCTATCATAACCAAAAAAATACATACATATTTTTTATGGCTACTTTACAAACCTATAAAGTTCCAACCTGATTGACTCCTGCAATTGGCCTAAATGAACCGTTATAATGCAACTGATACATTGAAAAGCGTCGCGAGGATCAACCTTTCATCCACCTTGCAACCTTTCTCGCAAATTGATGGTTTCTGACCACCTAAGCAGCCAGAAGTACTTTTTCCAACCATCTCGGGCTAGAAAGTAATCGACCGCTTGATTACTATACTTTCACCCGGTCAGCAGCTCGGTTCGCGCGAAACTTAGGTGTTACGTACATCATCAGGACCCACCGGTGGTAAGTTTAGCATAAAAATCGCCTCGAAACGATGCCGTACGAGCGCTCGCGCGCCGATATTGCTGGGTATTACCGTAACTGCCGCTGTATTATGGCAATTTTCAATTTTGCTGCACTCTCGATCGCCTCCCACCTCTCCCCTTAACAATTGCCCAACAAATGACTTTGATACTATAAGAGGAGCGAAAAATTGGACAAACGTCGACTGTTTCCTATCGTTGCACGAAGGTGCGTAAGATTCGACAGCAAATTGATGAAATGCATGATTTTTTTTTCTTTTAGTTAGTAAATCACGAGTGGGAGTGTTGGAAATGCGTGATTTTTGTTTATTCTGTTTACACTCTTTATACCAATGGCTTGCTTACCCTTTTTAAATCCTACATTGCCTCTGCATCTTTTCAATTTGACAATCGCTACAGAAAAATGACTCTTTCCCGGTTTTAATTTGTATGCCCTCTGCTAGCTGATATTTCTCAATATTTCTGATTGCTTAGGTATTGATGTGTCCAAGTCTTTTGTGCCACTGTTGTAGTGGTAACACTTTGGCTATGTCTAGTTAAAGAGATCTCTTCACTTTAAAAGCCATCTCCAATTGGTTATTACTATTTTTTATTCCACAAGCAGCTTTAACTTTATTACAATTCAGCAATTCTCATAAATCTTTCTTTGTGACCATAGTATACCCTTTTTCTGTCACTGATCAACTAAGAATAAACTTTATTTTAAACTTGGGACCAACCCACTGTACATTTTTCATCTCAAATTTCTTTCATTCTCCATCAGCTTACGATTCTATTTTAATGGTTCCATACCCATATATGGGTACTGTTTGATTATTGGCAACTTGGACTGTTCTGTGTGGTTTATACAACTGCAGATCTGAGAACCATTCCTTTTCAAATGCCATGTGCTCAGCTGCTCCTGAGTCTGCTAACCATATCTCAGATGTTTGTGACATAACCTCTTGTATGGTGGCTATGAAAACTAATTCTATGTGGCTTGATTTATTTGGGAAACTAACACTCTTTGTAATTTTTTGGTCATTCTGTTTACACTCTTTATAGCGATAACTACATTGATTACAACTTGATATTGGAGGCACTCACTGGTTATTCTGTGTCATATTTAACTATATTTTGCTGGTCTACTTCAAGCTGAAGACATTAAATTATTCAGATCTCTACCTTCTTTAATATTGTATCAAACTGTTCTGAAGTTTTTAAACCGAATAGTCAACCCAGTGATTACTCTAACCATCTTTATATTATCTATATTGCCTTGACTCTCTATTTCAGCTGCTAACTTTGTTACTTTACATACATAGGATGCTACAAATTCAGACTCTGACATTTTTACAGCAAAATATTCTTCATATAAAGTCATTATACTGACCTCGCATCTTCTTTCATAGACACTAACTAGATAATCCCATACCTCTTTTGCTGTATTACAATTTAGGATTAACTGTGCCTGTTTGTCTTCAAGTGTGCCTACGATTACTGCTAATGCTGTACCATCCCTCTTTATCTACTCCTTCTAAACTGCAGCCGCTGCACTTTCATTAAATTCAGGACTTTCCCCAGTGACTACATTTACCAATCCTTTGCCCCTTAACAATGTTTACATTCAGAACTTCTATAACTTGTAGTTGACACCGTTAAACTTGTGGAATAACACATGTTTGACTCATTCATCTTATTTTCCCTTCTTTTTGAAGAAAAAGGAACTATATCGAACACAATACAAAAAAAATTAAACACTAAGCCTAAACCACACGATTTTCTTTTCCTTCGTGATCAAACTACTACTGTTAGCACGTGGCCTGGGCCCATAACCTGTTGAATTTGAGAGGTTATTCCAGCCTATTCACTGTTCTGTTGACAGAGAAAGAAAGACACTACTAAGGCAATCAAATGGTTATTAGAGAACGATAAAAAGTACTTTAATTATACGTTTAAGTATATATATAAAAGGATACACAGAATTAATTAAACTAAACCAGCCACTCAATTGTACACACGCGCTCGGCATATACGCTGCTCTACCCCTACTCTCTTTTGTTTTATCTAAAACTGCTGTCTGCATCGTCCGCGCGGGAACTACGAAATATTCAAAAGTTACGCATTTCCAACACGGATAATTCGTCAAAACATAATCGAATCGAAAGGAGATTGAAAATACCTGAAACTTGTTTCTCTTCGGGTTGTCTCCGTAGTTTGGGATTGTTTGCAAGGTGTCTCTCACGAATGACGACTTACCTGAAAGAAAACGGATTTTTGTTAGATAAAAATATAATCATAAGCATATTTTAATGTGTCATGCTGGTAATAAAAATTGCTACTTTCTTGCTGTCAAGTAACCTAGGAGGTCAAACTACGACACTATCATATTCTAACATCTATAACATACCAGAGGTTGCTAAACTAATAATAAACAATATTCCCTCTCTTAAGGGGGGAGTCTGGTCCAGCTAATGTATTTTTCTAATGCATATAATTTCCAGATATAATTAATTTTTGTTATTGAAACTTTTTTTATATATAAAGGGACGTTCAAAGAAGAAAATTTGACAATGTAGATTTAATTTGAATGTATATATAGTAGTCGCAAGGAAAAGATTCGGTCAAAATGGTGGGACGCATAGCTCATCGAATTTTTATCCGATTCACTTGATTCAACGCTTAAATTGAAGGTAATTAAGTTTATATGCTCATGAACCTCGACTCTTAATGATTTATTATTGTAGCATAAAGTTATTGCAAAATTTCCTTTATATATATTATATATATAGTAGTCGTAAGGAAAGGATTCAGTCAAAACGGTGGGATATGTGGAGCCCTGGGAAAACATCTGATAGATAAAATCAGAAAATTTTTGTCTTTAGTAGGTACGTAAAATGCGTATGAACCTCAATTTGCAAAAAAAGTTGTTAATTGGAAAAATGGCGGCAAAAAACATGAATGAACGATACATGTCGGCCGTTATTTTGCAATAACTTTATGCTACAATAATAAATCATTAAGAGTCGAGGTTCATATATATATATATATATATATATATATATATATATATATATATATATATGTGTATACATTCAAATTAAATCTACACTGTCAAATTTTCTTCTTTGAACGCCCCTTTATATGTAAAAAGAGTTTCAATAACAAAAATTAATTATATCTGGAAGTTATATACATTTGAAAAATACATTAGCTGGACCAGACTGCCCCCTTAAACGAGAAAATCTGGTCCCCAGGTTGCTCAAGAGCGCGCCAGATAGCGATTCTTATTTTGTCTCTCAATTATACGGGGCGAAGCTTGTACAGTTATCCGGGTAATGCTCTATCGGAACGGCCAGGCGGGAATTTCTGCCGCGGAATCGCCGTCATCTCTCGCCAAGAAACTCGTGTGCAAAAACGTCGAGGCTAGACGACGTGCACAAGTTGCGTTCTAAATTGCGCTCGATAAACGCGGTGATTTCATGGAGTTTCGTCGCGAGGCTGCCGGTGGTCACGGTTGCTCGTGACTGCATCAAGTAACGGTGAAGATCGGCAGGATTCTTTCGCGAAAGTAACGGAGCGAAGGAGGCAGGAAAGGTCGTCGGTTGTATCGAGCGAGCGAAATTAATCACCCGCCATCGATAATATCTCTCCCTCCGACCTCCGAGGATCTCGGTCTACGAAACCAACAGTGACGTCTGCAAATGGTCGATCATTAATTACGCAAGGATTATTTTGACCATTTTTGACCCACCTCTTTCATGTAAGGGCACGTAAGATTTCTCAGAGCCTCCTCACTCTAAGATAAGGTCATGCAGATATTTTTTGAACCTTCCCTGCCCCTTGAGACTCTTATTTAATTATTGAATGGCCTGCGATGGAATCCAGAAATAGTAGAAGTATACCAAAGTGTTATTAACCTGATATAAATAAGTAAAACAAATATGAAGCACTCGTATGTATGTAAATATTGACTCATCAAGCACATAATACGCAAGGTGTCTTACTTTCACACGGATGTTAACTGAAATTAATTTTTCGCGTTGATTAATACATTTATCCGAATAACGCGAGTACTGTGGGTAGAACATACATTTCTAATAATTGTTGTACGGATAAATTATTCAAGGGAAAAATATTTACCCATCTGATTAATTCAAATACATATTCATCGCGCGATTATTTCAAATGCATGTTCATTCCATGCTATTCGAATAATGGCCAACGGTGCACGGTTCGACCGAGTTCTCACTCTTACGCAGAGCGATCCCATCGAAAGTCGAATTTACGATCCCACCCGATACCAATGGCGAGATTTCTTTATGGAAGGAGAAGAATCCGAGAACATAGAAGAATCCGAGTATCCGACCTCCTGCATTCGGTCGAAGCAAGATCTGTTGGCCGCTGAAGGCCACCCAGAGGCTACCCCCACCCTATACCTCGACTACCCCCCACCACTTCAACCCAGAGCGCTTTTTGGCGCCTCAAAAAATAATTTCTCACGATCTAACAGTAGAAATCGTGATCGTCATGATCAAAAGTATGAAATTACTTCAAGGTACCAATCGATTTGGTTCCAACTATATAGCTATCCAGTATTCAGCAGGTCAATCTCGAAAATTGATAAATTCAATTTCCTACTTCTGAAACGTTCGCGTTGCATCGATATTTTCCATTTTCCATCGACATCCTCTCGGCCGCGGTGCTCGATGATTTAAGCTCGGACGCATCATTGCCCCGGGACATCAAAAAATTAAATCAATTAAAACAATTCGTTTAATTGAAATGATAATTGAGTTACGCGAGCGCCCCGACGCACGACCGCGTCTCGGCGCTATCGCGCGCCCTCTTTCGTGCCTTTTTGACAGACGGGAGCGCCACTTTTGAGGTTACAAATTGCCGGAAATAACGAAACGGTAATTTATGCGATTCTTTGTTACGCATGTGGAAAATAAATACGTAAATTCGAGTCGGAGGAGGTCAGTGAATTGAGGAATTGTATTTGTTTCTTCAGAAAACGTAAATTAAAATTGCAGACATATGATGTACGTAACTATTAGGATGGACAGAAAGTTCGTGCGATTTTTTACGTTGTTTCAGTTTGTGCAATTTTTTGTAGTCAATGACTTCGGTATGACTTTGTATGCAAATTTTTATATCATTTTGTACCTTTTGAAAAGCTCTTTCATATTTAATTATTAGCTACGTTAATTTACTAATTTTTGTTTCGTTTTAGTAAAATCTTGGAAAATTTTGAGATTCGTATAAGCTATGAATATTCGTATAAGCTGAGAAAAGTATAAAGCTACTGAAGCAGCAACGAATATATTATATTCAGTAGCTTTAATCTTTTGCTTCCAGTAGCGACGTAAAAGTACTCGAATCTCAAAATTTTCCATGACTTTACTAAAACGAACAAAAATTAAACGATAAATAAGTTAATGCATTAGCTAGTAATTGAATATGAAGAAGTTTTTCAAAAGCTACAAAATGATATGAATCCTTTCATGTAAAGTATTTTAATGTCTTCAAAAAATTGCACAAACTGAAACAACGTAAAAAAACGCAAGAACCCTAATAGACTGCGGATGTTTATGAAAATTCATGTTTTCACAGATTCGGATACACGAGATCCTGAATTGAGATTCGAATGAAAGTATGTCTTATCTTGTAAACTGTGTAACATGTATTTTACTGTTTATATTTTATATACAGTCAGTGTAAGAAGCATTCGTACAGGAACCCATTTAAAATAAATGGTTCCTGTTCGAATGCTTCTTACACTTTTTATTTATTTTAAATGGGTTCCTGTACGAATGCTTCTTACACTGACTGTATATAAAATATAAACAGTAAAATACATGTTACACATATTTATTACACTGACTGTATTTTTCCATTCATACATTACATCATCGCAAATACATGAACATCCCCAGCCTATATATAAGTATTATAAAAAAATAAACCTACCAATCGAACTCGGATGACTTACATTTAAAAGACATCCAGGAATTGAATTTTTGTCTAAAGTAGCAAAATATAAGAAACCCTCAAACCCTCAAACCCTCACAGAATCCCCATAATGTCACGCAACAGTTCAGCCTCGTCGGATTCTTCCGACCCAGTACAACATCCATTTACAGATTAAACCGCGCCACCCTGTATAAAGTCCCAGCTTCAGGTGAAAGAAACACAACCGGGCAAAATGATTTCGGCCTCCAGAGGATCTCGCGCAATAATTTCTCGATCCATTAAGGCTCCCGGTCACAGCCATTCGTAAATACACGAACACACGCACACGGAGGGGGCACGGAGAGAGAGCGAGCCGCACGCAACACGCGCGTCCTAACAAGCAGAAGACCCTAGGGGACTCCAGTGTCTCGTAGGTGGCAGGTTGGACGTCCGCCACTAAGAATTCAATTAACGGTAATTATATGGCGACCCTCGTGGCAGCCCTCGTTACTTTCCTCCCCCTCTCCCTCCCTCTCGTCCCATTCCCTCCACATCGGTCCTGCAACCTTCCACCCTTTCTTTCCGTCTGCAGGTGCATCCACGACGCAGAGAGCTGCCAGAAAGTTCCTACAAAGTTCCATTTGGAGGCCGAGGCTAGTCTCGTTCCTTTGCCTTTCTCTGAGCCTCAGACCACCTCCCCCCTCTTGCACCCTCTGTCTCCTTTTCTATGAACCATCACCTCCAGAAAAAAAGTACCCCGTTTAATACCGACGGAGGGTTCTCTCAAGAATTGGCAGGGATACCCACGGTAGCACGACTCCCTAATTGTGCATTCGTGGAGTTTTTGAGGCGGAATGGTCGCCTTTCTGCCGAGCCTGGATCAGGCTCTATGCCAAGCCCGGCCAATCCTAAGTCCAGGCTTGGTGAACCGCTTTTATACCCCATATGACGAAAGGTTTGTCCCCTGTGGCCGTGAAACGTCGACTCGTTGTGCGATTAGCGGGAAATTTTCATCCGGGTTGAATTTTCGAGGGTTTGTTGATGTTTGGTGGGAGTTGTGAGTATGGGTATGAGGTTTTTAAAATTGCTACAAATGTTTTACTAGATTTTTGCACTCGGATGTCCCCAATCGGGGGATTTTCTTGAAATATCATTATAGAAATGCAATCTAAACGAAATCAATTTATAAAATTATATGTGTAAAACGTTTTTTTCACGTCGAATTTCACGTCGAATAAATTTTTGAAAACTCTGATAAAGTTAACACTAAATTTAGTAGAACTAAAAAAATTAATTCCGACGTT